AATTTTGACCTCAAGTCAACATCAACAGCAATAATTAAAATAAAAATATAATAATTTTCAAGCCCAATCTGTAGTACGTTCCTGGTTTTGGCGCGACACCACCGCGTCGCGCAGCTACCCTAATTATGTAATGTGGACCAAAATTTGAAAGATCCTCGGCCGTTAGCCAATCAAAATCGAGGAACTGCCAGTCCAATTTTGTTGTTATTTGAGCGAAGGTATCTTGAACCAAATTCGATAAATTTTATTTTAATTCTACAAACATTTAGAATTCAAATAAAAAAAATTCATCAAATTTAGTTGGGTGGTTATTGAGATACCTTCGATCAAAGTTTTGAAACTTATCGCAGCTTCTATTTACAGTAAACGTTTAAATTTTTTGAACTTTGATCGAAGGTATCTCGATAACTGTCTAACCAAATGATGAATTTTTTTTTATTTGAATTCTACAAACCTATAGAAGTCAAATAATAATAATAATAATAAATATTGAATTTTGTTGGGCGGTTATCGCGATACTTTCGATCAAAGGTTTGAAATTTCTTGCCGCAACTTTATTTTTGATATACTGGTACGTTTAAATTTTTTTGGACCTTTGATCGAAAGTATTCCGATAACCGTCTAATAAAATTCGATAAATTTTATTTTTTTTTTATCCTACAAATTGTTGGGCAGTTATCGAGATACCTTCTATGTTTAAATTTTTTTGATCAAAGGTATCTCGATAACCATCTAATCAAATTTGATGGATTTTTTTATTTTAATTCTACAAGTCTGTAGAATTCAAATAAAAAAATTTTATCGATTTCGGTTGGACGTTATCAAGATACCTTTAAATTTTTTGGAACTTTGATTGAAGGTATCTCGATAACCGTCAACCGAACTCGATGAATTTTTTATTTAAATTCTAAAGCCCGTAGAATTCAAAAAAAAAAAAAATCGAATTCGGTTGGGCGGTTATCGAGATCAAGGTTTTGAAACTTGCCACAATTTCTATTTTTGATACGTATACGTTTAAATTTTTTTGGAACTTTGATCGAAGGTAACTTTATAACCGTCTAACCAAATTCAGTGAAATATTGAATTCTGTAAGCCTGTATAATTCAAATACAGTAATAAAAAAAAAATCATCGAATTTGGTGTCTCCAAGTGCCGACAATCACGGTGAAATTTTATTTGTACATTCGTATAAAATTTTTTTTATATTTCTTATTTTATTTTAATGTTTATTATATAACTTTTTAATTTTTTAATGTATTTATTATTTAAATTACATATTGTCACGGTTAACATCGGTTACACGACGAAAATTGGAATTCGAGATATGTCGTGAGGGGCATAACAACGGAGAGGTTCAATTAAGAAAAGGATTAAATAGTAAATAACATGAGAATAATAATAATAATAATCGCGTTTGGAATTGTGATCTCGTGAATCACGGGTAGATAATTATCAGGTCGAGCAATTATGTAGTCATCAGTTAAAACGCATAAAAAATTAAGGTATAAGTCAAAAATTGTATGAGAAAATTATGATGTAATTAATTTATAATCAAATTCTTGTATAATATGTGAAAAATAAAGTTTTTACCTTTTTCGCTTTCAGTAATAAAAAATCTTTAAAAAACTGTAATACCCTTCTTGTGTTGAAACAGAGGTGCGCTGCCCTGTTTGATCGTAGTCAGTGAGGGCCGCGACACATATTCAGTATAAATCAAAAACCACCTAGTCTTCTTTGATCTAAAAAGTGAACATATAGCCATAATCGATCCATGTAATTATTATCAGGGCGCGTCAGATAGGAATACTAAATATAGTAAATATTTCAGTAATTCGAAAGTAATAACAGGTGCGTCGAATCTGATTCATACAATGCTTCCGATTGTAACTTTTTTCGAATATCTAATTTATTAGGATCTAAATGCATAAAAATAAGAAATGTTATTAATTTGCGAACTAGAAAATTCTATAATACATAACTAATTCCTTCTCTAGAATTAGTTGTCTAAAGAATATGGACGGCCTAATGCAGGGGTTTTCACCCTTCCACCTAGGTGCGACACGTACGAGGTACGTGTGGGGAATAAGCAGATACACATTCTATGGATGCATAACTAATTCTTTCTCTAGAATTAGTAGTCTCAAGAATGCGGACGGCCAAATGCCGGAGCTTTCACCCCTTCCGCCCAGTGTTGGAAATCCTGCGTAATAACAGATAAAAATAAAACTAGAAATCAAGCAAAGTTCATCCAAAAGAAAATGAATGAACATAAAAGTCGAGAAGGGTCAACATAAAAATTTGAATAAATGTCTAATAAATTTCGAAATCAGACAAATTAGAATGTGGGCATAAATAAATTTCTAAAACATTAAATTAAATACATATGTTTATAAAGCACGCCACCGGCGTCCTGTGACTTCCAGGTTAAAATAAAAAAAAATAAAAATAAATAAAATAAAATAAAATATGTTCTCACGAGAACATAAATCTCAAAACAGATTTCCAACACTGCTTCTGGGTCAAATGAGAACTCCAAGAGCACAAAAGCCTGACAAAACCCTCCTAACATACTCGCCTTTATATTAAGGGTCCTTTATCTTCAGGAACTTGTAACGTTAGAATCTTAAAATATTCGGGATATTGCATCTTTCAGCAATACAATTAATTCTGCACGGGAGAAAATTCACATCCAATTCAGAGAGTTGTAGGTCCTCTCGATGTTAGCATATGGCAGTTCGAACATGATCGTAGAGACAATTGCTGGAAAAAATCATCCAACCTCCTTTATCCATCAAGTACCTACAAATATTTTGACAAAACCCAAAATCTGAACTTACGAAAAGGTTGAAATAGTTAGTTTAAGCCAATGTGCTAAAAGCAAAACACAATAGAGGAAGAAAAACCGGACTCATCTCTAATGCCAGTTTCAGTTTCAAGACCATTCCTAATCTACATCATTCGATTCTAATCGCGTCTCAACGAAGCCTAAAGTTCAAATCTACAAAATAGCTAGTTCAAGTCAATATAAAAAAAAGTAGAATACAATAGAGAAAAGAAAAACTAGACTTATCTATAGGCAGTTTTAATTTCAATGCCACATCTAATCTTCTTTATTCGATTTTAATCGCGTTTCGACGAAGCCCAAAGTTATTCGATTCTAATCGCGTTTCGACGAAGCCCAAAGTTCAAATCTACATAAAAGAAGAAATAGTTAGTTCAAGTCAATTTAAAGAACAGAATACAGTACAATACAGCAATAGAGAAAAAAAAACTGGGCTTATCCCTAATGTCAGTTTCAATTCCAAGAGCATTCCTAATTTTCATCATTTGATTCTAATCGTGTTTCAACGAAGCCTAAAGTTCAAATTTACAAAAAAAAAAAAATAGTTGGTTCAAGTCAATATAAAAAGACAGAACACAATGAGAAAAGAAAAATTAGACTTATCTCTAAAACCAGTTTTAATTCTAAGAACACATCTAATCTTCTTTATTCGATTCTAATCGCGTTTCGACGAAGCCCAAAGTTCAAATTTACAAAAAAAAGAATTTTTTAGTTCACGTCAATATGAAAAGTAGAATACAATATAGCGATAGAGAAAAAAAAACTGGGCTCATCTCTAATGCCAGTTTCAATACCAGACCATTCATAATCTTCATTCGATTCTAATCGCGTTTTAACGAAGCCCAAAGATTAAATCTACAAAAAAAGAAGAAATAGTTAGTTCAAGTCAATATATAAAAAGCAGAATACAACACAGCAATAGAGAAAAAAAATAATCTAGACTCATCCCTAATGCCATTTTCAATTCCAAGAGCATTTCTAATTTTCATCAACTGACTCCAGTCGGCGTTCAACGTCAAAATTCAACCTACAAAGAAGAAATAGTTTATTCAAGCATGTGTGAAAAATTGTAATATAGAAAAGAGAAATTGGACTTATCTCTAAAACCAGTTTCTAATTCTAAAGCTACCCCTAATTATTATTTGGCTCTAATCTCGTTTCAGCGTCCAAATTTACAAAAATCTAATAAAAACTTATAAAATGCTCAAATATATTGTACGGTAGTGGATCACTATTGCAATTCACATTCCTCATTAACTCGCAAACCAAGATTGTAATTTGCTGGTTTGAAATTATCTAAATTAATGCGAACTGCGTAAGGTTGCTATTTTGAAATTATCTTCATATTAACCAAAGTATATGAATTACCATTTTAATAAATTAAAATAATAAAGAGCGTGTAAAGTATAAATATAACGCGAAAATTAGAGTTGCACTAATTATTACGTGCAGTGTAAATTGAATACGCGCAGTAGATGCAGCGTACATAAACTTAAATTTACGCGCGCGCATATCATTTATATATTACGCGCTTGCGCCGTCAATATTCTGACGGTCCAGGGGTTACTGGACAATGTGTAGATGTCTGGTTCAACAGCACATGATCTGCGAATAAATTATTGGCAGAAATAACTTTAACGTTCGTTATTTTGGTAATACCTCAGATTCGTAGTACGTACTGGAAACAGTGTGAGTTCTAAAGCACCAATTTTTAAAGCTTAAAACAATAAGCAATAAAATTGAACTGATGACATTGCAATATTTTTTAGCTAATCAAATATTTTGGAACGTAACAACAGATAAGTTGAATGAAATGAGGATTCAGAAAAAAGATTTTAACTATATTTGGAAGTAAAATTGGTAGCAACGATTAAATTATATTATGTTTGTTCGTTACGTTCTTGATTCAATTCGAACGGACATAGACATGATGCTGAGTAATTGGATGGATTGGATATTTAAAATAAACAGGTAATTTGTTATGAATTAAGTTTTTATTTAATTGCAATTCTGCATATTATAAAATATTTAAATGTAGGTTATATTATACGTAGAATAATATAAATACTAATTAAAATCTTGGGCAATCAATTTCTTTAACAACATCCAACAAGGATTTTGTTTGGAATTTTCATCACCATCACATAGTGAACCACCTCTAATGCTTATATTTGCGACCAAAAATGTCTACTGAACCTTCATCGAACCCGTGATCATTAACCATGTTATCCCCCGATTCAACAAGAATAACGAGAGCTGCCACAACATCCCTATGCAGTAAATTATAATATCAGATATAGAAAATATAAAAAAAAAAAATTTTTGTTTGATAGCAATTGAAAAGAATTACAAACCATTCCCAGCCTCCAATTGAAAAATGAATATCCAAATAACCTTTGGCCACATAACATATACTCATAGTACAACAGCCCACGTTTCTAATTCCATGTGCTGACCCAGCTTTTTTGGAACTCTAAGAAACTTCTCCAGACGATTTTAATAAGTTACGTATAGAATTGATCTTTTTGCTAAGGATCTATTTGCACAACTAGATGGCAAAACAGGCGGAGGATATGGGTGGGACAATGGAAGCCTTGTTGTATGATTTAAAAATGCACCATGACCTTTACAAGCAGTGATTTTTAAAATTTACAAAAATAAGCAATTGTCTTGGGATGTCTGGCATGCCGTATAAGTGTTGGCCAATGACCTAAGCTGTACAATTTTTTTTTGTATGACCTTGGTCATATAATAATATAATTTTTGGTCATATTAACTATGATTCTTACTAATATCATGTCAGGTCTTATAGGTCATTTAAGGTTATCGGCCAACACATGCAGTATAGCATAGTATTGGCCGAAATCTATGTCATACTATACTATATAGGCATGTCATGATATAATTATATATAAACATTAACTCACTTCATTGAGGAATGGGTTAAACACGACACCAATAACGGGTTCCTTATTAACAAATGAGACAGCGACAAAAGGATAACTATAAAAAAAAATAAAATAAAATTAATATTGCAAAAATAAGAAAGTACAAATCTGTATTATACCCTTGAACAAAATTAGTTGTTCCATCTACAATAATTAAAATTTCATTATATACGATTAATTCCAGTAGAAGACACACAATCACACCTAGGGATGGGTACGGTCACGGTCATAACCGTTGTGACCGGTCATTGACCGTGACCGTTGTTGACCGGTCAGAGCGGTTTGACTGACCGGTCAAATAATGACCGATGCCAGATTTTTTTTAAAAACCATGATTTTGTTTCATGTTACGGCTGTTATCATAAATTCTGGAACACCTGATAAAAATTTGCCGAATAATTTCTCAGTCAATTCGATAAAATCTGAGATTATGAAACAATTGAATCACGTGTAATACAAAAATAATGTCTATACGTATGATCATGCAGAAATCATAAACTTAATCGAATAAACCAAAATATAAGATTAAACCTAGATGCAACAAAATAGTTACAACGGATTTTTGATTCTGATTGGCTAACGACCGTGATCTGTGAAATTTTGGCCCGCATTACATAATTGTTGCTATTTCCGGCCGGAATTAACTTTTTTATTTTTTCATCACAAAAATAGCTTTTGGAATATAAACCCACACTATAATAAATTGATCCAGGAGCAATTTTCATTTAATAGACAGCTGTGACTTCATTAGTAAAATTCTGTGTAATTCCGGCCTAATTTTCTGATGTCATTCCTACCAATCAAAATTGAGAATGTGCGATAGCTAGTGTTAATGCTAAATAAATGCTAAAAAAGTAGTTGTGAAACATAGTTGTTCGGTGAAAATCAATTCTTAGTAAATTTATTCAAAAATTTAATCGGTTGTTGCAGAATTTATGATAACAGCCATTGTTGTAAAAATATTTTTTCATGTATATGTTTTCCTGTGTTTCGTTATTAAGTGGCCGTGTATAGATCTGGTTTGGGACCACAGATCGTGGTCTGAGACCACAGACCTTGGTCCAGGACCATCGATCTTGGTTTGAGACCCCTGATCTTGGTTTCAAACCATGGCAGACTAAAATGTATAAATACAGTGCTTGAGTAGGTAAAGAATATAATAACATTATCTTTTTGCTTCGATTAAATAACTAAATAAGTAAATACATTCCTTAATATCCCATTATCATTAATTCCGAATCCCTAATGAACATCCATTTCGCATAATCTATGTTTGCAACCCTGAGCTAATTTGTCCTCATGTTAGCCAAGTCTCTCCCACGGTTGTAACACCATAATTGAGATAATCCACATATCTAATTTTAGTATCTAGTTTAGGAAGTACCATATATATCATATCAGTATTACAAAACAATAATCTTTAATATTAATGTTATCTTTAAAGATTTTTATTTTGTAATACTCACATGTACGGTCATTTGATTGTTTCCTAATTGCACAATTGTGCAAAATTGGTTTTGATAACAGGGTAATATATTTTTTGTGAAAACTGTGAATCTACAACATGACCAAAATTTAGACAAGTCAAATAATTACTATTATTCAAGGCTATAAATCTCGTGAATATGCAACCTTTACAGAAAAAACATAGAATATACATCGAATGCCATAGGAAGACTTTCATATAATTGGCAGTTTAAATCAATTTAATTTAATATTATTTATATGTACTTTTTTTTAAAAAAAAAAAAAAACTATGGAGATTAACAAAAAAGAAGTATATTTTTAAAAAAAGTACTTTAAACTGTATAAATAATGTAAAACTAAATTGATTTAAATTGCCAATCATACGAAAGTTTTTCTATGGCACAGAATGACAATTTTTATAAAATATTCGAATTTTATAATTGCGATCTATACTATTTGTGCTATTGTATTTTAATTAATAATTAAATAAAATATTTATTATATATGTTTAAATTATTGTTTATAATTGCGCTAATTATTAATATTAAATTTAAATAGTTTGCTAAATTGTGTGACCCTATGATCAATTTTTTTATAAATAAAATAATTATAATTATGATTGGAATTACTAAAGTTAGTCAGTTTATTATAAATCCAAGCTTAACACAAACGTAAATTATTGATAAACTGATTAACTTTATAATCGCGATTAGGATTATAACTATTTAATTACAAAAAAAATTAATCATAGTGATTACACAATTTTGCGAATTATAATAAATATAATAATAATTTATATAAATAGAATACGAAGTAAATTTATATTAAATAATTTAAATAATATGCTATAAATATATAATTAGTATGCAATCAAAAATTAAAAATTTTAACTTTTAAACTTATTGCATTTACGATATTAACTTCTAACTTATAATTATACAAATTTTTTAACTTTTTTTTATCAACATATAAATATTATTTATCTATAATATTTTTATTTATTACTTATTTATTTTATATATTATCTTTATTTTTATTTATTCTTATTTATTTTAAAAATGTCTATCTATTCAGATGATTCAAACAATACTCCTGAAGAATGTAGTGTTGAAGAAAATTTGCTACTACAATTAGATGATGAAGTTAGTGATTTGGAGGAGGATATTAGTATTGAAATTGAACAAGTTGATGAAGAAATTAT